ATATCCTTACTTTCAAAATAATTCCAAATCTGGTAAAACTTTATGTCCTTAATTTCAAGTTTTACCAAAAACTAAAAACTCTATGCATTCCTTAGCTAAGATGATTCCAAAAGTAAGGATTAACAAAGAATCTAATTCCATGTCAACTATTAGTCATATGATTTAATGGTAAAATTATCTGTATTCGTAATTATAAATTTAGAGTTTAATCTCTAATCTTTGCATACCTATAAAAAAAAAAAAATCCATCTCAAAGAAAAGCAGCACTAAATTACTTGAACCAGCAGCAGAACCTTCCAAAATAACCAAATATACGACATGCATTTTGTCCCTAAACTGCCTTTCCAGCTAGATGCTGCCGATACTCAACGCTTTTCCCCAGCAAAACCGACCGCCAATCCCTCCTAGCCAGAAGAAATGAGAAATTTAGAGGGGCAACTCTATAGATTGTTGGATGTAAGAGTTAGAGTACCCTGCACTCTGTTACTAATAAAGCTACCGTTCAAAATAAAAAATGATTGGCACTAAAGCAGCTCAGGTTTGTTTCCCCTATTTCATGCTTTATGATATATATGATTCTACAATATAAATTTCTATACAATAATGCATTCAAAATTCTATGGATGGCAGTTAAATAAATACAATAGAACCTCTAAAGGTGTTTTTTTTCTTATTGATTTCCTTCCACGGCAACCTGGGTCTGTTCTCCAGGCCTTACTAGCAAAATATACAGCACAAAGGAGAACAAGTTTTTCTTTTTACTTTTGCAAGCATGGGGTTCCTTTCTTCAATATTACATATTTAAAAAGTGATTAATACACATTTAGTTTAGGACAAATTGGTACACCCTATATTTTAACACCCGGTTCAACATCCGGTTTAACACCCTCTAGTTTAGTCATTAAAAAATCATTATTTTTTAGTTTGAAATTAATAATAGACAAGTATAATAATACAATCATTAAACATGATACAGGAACCGACTGAATTGACTGTATTTATATTATATTTTTAATGATTAAACCAGAATGTGTTGAATAGGATGTTGAACCGAAGAGTGTACCAAACATTTCCCCTCAGTTTAATATATTTTTTAACATTTATTCGGTCTAACTATTAATTAAATATATTATAAGTATAGTTTAATTTAGTTGATTTTTATATTTTGTGTACATAGCAGTATTTTAAAATTTTTATGCTTTTCATTTTATAATAAAAATAATTATTTTTTAATGATATATATGCAATGTATTAAATCAAGATATGTAACAATCAGTGTCTTAAATATTTAGGTAACTTTCCTAGTAAAAGATAGACACTTCCCCCTCGCCATCCCTATATTCAACATCATGAGAAACTTTGAAGAAAACAATATGACATTTGGTAGGTTTATAAAAAAAATGTGGTATTTGGTAAACCTTCCCCAAAGAGCAAAGGATCTTTTGAGAAAATAAAAATAGTATAACTAACAAAGCTCAGTTGCATGAATCAAACGTATGCGAAAAAAATTAACTAAAATAAGAACACAAAGCCATTGCAGATAAATGTGATCCCACATATATTCATGACCACAAAAAACCAGACAATATGCAAGATTTGCTCTCAACTTCTCTCACTGGTATCAAAATCAAATCATAAAAATTTCATTTGCCTAACTGCTTTCATGTAAAGTTCATTTCACCAGAGGTAAAAAAAAAAAAAAAAAAAAAAAAGGAGCAGAAAATAGCCAAAGGGCAATTGTGGTCCACACAGACACTCACAATAATATCTAACTTATTTCACAATTCAACAATGATAGAAGATATATAAAATGTTTTACTTGTAATAATCTGGTGAAGAAGACGATATCTTGTCACATGTTGTATTTTGGGATTCTTTCTCTATGATTGGATGGTGATGCTTCAATAGATCCTTCATCCATTAGATCAGAGAATCACCTTTTCTTGCTCTTTTTACTTCTGGTTTTCCTTATTCAGCCCATTTTTTCAACTTGAAGTAACATCATTGTGCTGCATAAAGAAAAGCTTCTTTTTCCAGGTCCTCAAATGCAGATGAAAAATCTAATAATGCAGATATAGTTTTTTGAATTCCATGCAAAACTGCGCTGATAAAAAAAAAAGGAAAAAAAAGAAGAAGAAGAAGAATTCCATGCAAAACTGAATATTGTCAAATTTAGATTTCCCGCAAACAATTCCGAAGATTACTTAAAAGCCAGTGTTTGGTGTCCTAACCTAGTAGATCCCAAATTTAACAAACCTCAGTTTCCTGAGCAACAAATCTCTTCTTGTATTATAGGGAGCAGCAATAAACAGTTTCAAAGTGGAGGTGGGAGACCTGCCTTTATATAAAGTTTTGGACACCATGAATTGATTAATGTATAATAAGAAGTTTCTCAGCAAAAGATATTATCTTGTAAAGATGGTAGGGCACAGAGATCTTCTTTAATGCACTTATGCTTTTGCAAGCTTTTTGAAAAGTATAATCAACTTTGCCTATCACTCTCTGCCGTCTGTGTTCCCACCACTTCTTCACGAAGACATTTAAGAGTTACATCATTCATGGAACAGAATCATGCGTCGATCAATAGAAATCAATATGGTTCTAATAAAGGATACGATCGGTTGATCAGAACTAGTATCCAATACAATAACATAGCGTGTTAGTGTGTTACTGACATCCTTGACATCCTTGGAATGAAAACAAAAGTTTGGGGTTAATTCCGCCAAGCATGAAAACTGAATAGTCAAGGACACCTTTAGCATTTTTCAAAGAATTCACATTCAAGCACTTTCAGCTGCTGCATATATTTGCAAGCCATCTCAACCTGGGACTACACAATAATTACTAAAATAGCACCCTTATGTTATGAAGGAAAGAAATCGTTATAGTTATTCAACAAAGCATAAGGGCTAAAAACAAGTCTTGTGACTATGCACATAAAGATTGCATTGGCTTTAATTCTAATAAAGCCTGGAAGTGATAATCTGGGCAAGTCACAAAGTACAAACATGAAAAAAGGATGAAGAAACAAGAAGCGAAAGGGATATAGATGAGAAAAAGAGGGATGGATGGGCAAATATCCTCATTGGATTTATTGATCAATAAATTTTGAGAAGTACTTAGAAGCTGAGACAAAAACAGTAAAGGATTCAGCATCGCCGTTAATAGATCACATTACCATAGACCTATGGCCTCTCCTACGCAATGAAAAAGGAATTCATTATTGTATTTAAAGAAACTGCAATTAAGCAATAAAAATGTACCATGTACATCTGACTTCCATTGCTTAAATTTAAACTGCCTAATTCTTTTATAGATAAGTCCTAATGATCTCTGATGTACCAAATGCGCACTACTCTTAGGCAAGTAAACCTAATTTATTATGCAGTATAAGATGAGTAAATATCATTCTCCTGAAAGACTAATCTAACCTAAGTTGAATTAACTAATTAATGGAACAAAGCTAAACTATTTAAAATAAAACTACTTAAACTAAATGAATTTTCCAAGTAAAAACAACTATGAATGGGAAGGAATTAGGGCTTAGATTTCATTTAATTTTGAATTATGCAATTGTTTAATTAATTTAATTCAAGTTCAAATAACAGTGTTACAGCATGAGATGACGGATTTCCCTTAATTAATTAACCAACTTTCTCAAGTCAAGCTAATTCTTCACTTGTTTGTCAAATTAATTATATCTCTATATAATTTTAAATAAACTAATGAGCATTAAATTATATGAAACCTCTAATTTAAGAAAGGGGAGCTCCTAACTCTCTTATCTTGCTCCACTACTATATGTGAGTTAATTACCTCTCAGTCTTATAGTCTAAGACACAGTTTATATTATTATTGGTCTAATTTACGTCATTCTTTCTTAAGTTCATGCATAAATCACTAAATCAATTGAAAGGTGATCAAACTTTCAATGC